GTTGACATTATTGCATGTACAGTGGCTAATGGGAAAGCGCTTAGAGTCAAACGTAAATTTTCAATTCCAAAGTGCGCCCGTTTAGGCTTATATACCCTTGGAGTTATTTTAACTAGCATGCTTATTTTTACCTGGGAGTGAAAATAATGATTTGTGCTGTAATAATTCCGTATAAATTTTTATTATAGGGCCTATTCTTAAAAATACTCAGTGATTAATATTAAGATCAATGTAGCACTAATTTAGTTCTGAATTAATTGAGTTCTTAGACAAAGTCAACTTAATCTTAAGAATCTGTGATTCTCTCACACAAAAAATATGTACACCAAATGTTCATTATTTTCTTCATAATAGCCAAAAACTGGACAATAACCTGATTGTCCTTCAGTGGATGAGTGGTTTAAACAAACTGTAGCATAATACCATGGAATAGTACTCAGTGATTAAAGAATTAAACTGTTGATGTTGATACAACCTGGGATTAATCTCCAGGAAATTATGATGAGTGAAGGAAGCCGTTCAAAGGTTATATTATAGTATGCTTTCATTTGTATAACATTCTTTAAATGAGTAACATTGATAGGAATAGAAAACAGATTAGTGGCTATTAGAATTAAGAGAATGGGAGCCAAAAGTGAGAGAAGCTATAAAAGGGAACATGAAGGATTTTTGAGTTAATACAGATGTTCTGGGTTTGGGGGTTGGTTTTTGGTTTTGTTTTTTCATGAGACAGAGTCTTGCTCTGTTACGTGAGCTAGAGTGCCATGGTGTCAGCCTAGCTCACAGCAACCTCAAACTCCTGGGCTCAAGTGATCCTCCTGCCTCAGCCTCCTGAGTAGCTGGGACTACCCGGCATGCACCACCACACCAAGGCAAATTTTTCTATTTTTAGTAGAGAGGCTGTCTCACCTCCTCTCAGGTTGGTGTCGAACTCCTAACCTTAAGTGATCTTCCCACCTTGGCCTCTCCAGAGTGCTAGGATTACAGGACATGAAGCTATCCCCACCCAGCTGATGTTCTGTGTTTTAATTGTATCTGTTTCAAATCCTGGTGTGATATTATACTATATTCGCCTATTTTGTAAGATGTTACCATTGGGAAACTGTATAAGGTACATAAACATGAATTATTTCTTTAACTGAATGTGAATCTACAATCATCTCAAATTAAAAGTTTAATTGTTTAAAAAGGATTAAAGGGCCTGGCACGGTGGCTCACGCCTGTATATCCTAGCACTCTGGGAGGCCAAGGTGGGCGGATCACTCAAGTCAGGAGTTCAAAACCAGGCGAGCAAGAGTGACCCCTGTTCTCTACTATAAATAGAAAGAAATTAATTGGCCAACTAATATAAATATAGAAAATATTAGCCCCACCATGGTAGCACATGCTATAGTCCCAGCTACTTGGAGAGTGAGGTAGGAGATCACTGAAGCCCAGGAGTTTGAGGTTGCTGTGAGCTAGGGCTGACGCCACAGCACTAATAGCCCGGCCAACAGAGACTGTCTCAAAAAAAAAAAAAAAAAGAGTTAAAAGGAACTTATATTTCTTATGACCACTGAAGTTTAGCATATTATCCACGGCATACCATTCTAAATTTGTTCAGGCTTTTTCTGACATCCTTCTCAGGTTACATTTGGCCTGTCTAGCAAGATACATTTTTTTAAGAGCGCGTGTAATCCTCTAAGACTAGCATAAAAGTTTCATCAGAATAGTGGCAGAGTTTTAAAATACTATAGTGAGTAAACGTCCTTTCCAAATGTATTTGGAAAAGCCTCAAAATAGTTTAAAGACTAAGGAAGTTATTTGTCACTGGGATTTGTTTTTTTATGCATGTTTTAAATAAAGAATAAGGAAAGGTAGAAGCAGAATCTTCTATCTTTGAATAATGGAAGTAAGTATAATGGGAAAACCTCAGAATTTGGCAATTGAACAAATTGTAGAAGTATTTTAATAGTGTCTTTGAGATTTTTTCATTTCCTTCCTACTGCTTTGAGATCATTATCATTCATCTATTATTTATTTATTTATTTTGAGACAGAGTCTCACTTTGTTGCCCAGGCTAGAGTGAGTGTCATGGCGTCAGCCTAGCTCACAGCAACCTTAAACTCCTGGGCTCGAGCAATCCTGCCTCAGCCTCCCGAGTCTGGGACTACATGCATGCACCGCCATGCCCAGCTAATTTTTTCTATATATATTAGTTGGCCAATTAATTTCTTTCTATTTATAGTAGAGACGGGGGTCTGCTCTTGCTCAGGCTGGTTTCGAACTCCTGACCTTGAGCAATCCGCCCGCCTTGGCCTCCCAGAGAGCTAGGATTACAGGCGTGAGCCACCGAGTCCAGCCATATTCATCTTTTATTTTACCATCAGTTATTTTTCATAGGAAACCAGTCCTTTACTACCTTCCAGTTATAAGCAAACTTGTGCTCTGCAGAGAAGTATTCACAGGACATCAAAGAATGAAAACAGAATCCATATCAAATTTTGTGGTATTAGTGGCTTTGACCTTTATCTTATAAAGCTCTGATATGATATTTCGTGGAAAACAAAATGAACAAAACATTTCTCACTTTTGCATTCATTTGGCTTATTAATAGATTTTTTTTTCTGCTTATAGGTATTTTAAATGCCATTGAAATGTGGTTTGTTAGGTTATCTGCCTTGGGATCAGACCTTTGAGATTCCTCTCTTCCCTCGCCCCACCCCTTTTAAAATTATCTTGTTATTCTTATATAGGAGTCATAGAACATATAATGTATGTCTTGTACTGAGGAAATATAGAAGATTTAAGCAAGGCTTCATTGGAAAAAATGGATTAAGATGTTTAAGACTAAAGTCTAGTAGATCATTTCTTGTAATTTGGGTATAGGATGATAGTTTTCTTAAGTGGAAAGCTTATTACATTTTCCTGACCAGCACTTCCCATACTGTCTGTAACATAGAATAATAGCGCCCAGTGTCCACAGGCAGACCTATGGGAAGAAGGAGCCTCTAAACAAGTCACCCAGTCTTTCCTCTCCAAGACCCAGTCTCCCTCCAAAGCCCATAGCTCTTCAGTAGTAGTGGTTGTGCCAGGGAGTATTGGAGATCTGGGAGGGTGGAGGGTTGGCAGGTCAGATACTATTTATTGGAGTAGCATTGCACTCCAGTAAATGAGCCCTGTAATTCCATAGGTAAAAGGGAGGCAGGCTGGTAGACCATTCCAATCTTGTTCACCACCTGTATACGCTGTAGTGTGGGCATATGAAGCACATATTTCTTGAATGACTGAATTAAGGAATGTATTGGTATCTTTATTAAAAGTAAACTTGAAAACTAAAAGGAGATGAATTTCAAAGGAATGATTCTCTTGACTGTACTATAAGTTCCATTAGGTCTCAGACTTATACAGTTGGTTCACAATTGTATTCCCAGGGCTTAGCCCAGAGTAGTTCTCAGTAACTGTTGGGTTAAATGTGTGCAATTCTGTTGTTAACTATTGTTGCTTTAAAGATTGCTTGTAAGAAAAGTAAGTGGTTGATGGTGTTTCTGCTTAAAAAAAGACAAAAAAAAAAAGAAAAGTAAGTGGGATAGCCAAAATGAAGTAATTATTACTAGAGATTAATTTAGTTATTCTGTCACTACTAGATATTGAGAGTTGCATTTAAGTATTTTAAACTTCTTTTAGCTCCCAAAAGTTTCAGGTTTTATATTTTTTTTTCCAGACTAGACGTCATCTTACCATAGTTTCAGTTTTTAATTAAATATTCTAACATACAAAAGAATGAATATAACATGTGCGTGTTGGTATAAAAATAATAAAACAAATACTGATGTATCCATTATCTGGTGTTAGAAATAGATCATTAAGAATTTCTTTGTGTGCTCTACCCCAGTCTTTTCTCTTTCCTTTCTCCTAAGAGTACCTTTATTCTTTTTTTTTGAGACAGAGTGTCCCTTTGTTGCCCGGGCTAGAGTGAGTGCCATGGTGTTAGCCTAGCTCACAGCAACCTCAAACTCCTGGGCTCAAGCAAGCCCAAGCCTACTGCCTCAGCCTCCTGAGTAGCTGGGACTACAGGCATGCACCACCATGCCCGGCTGATTTTTTCTATATATATTAGTTGGCCAATTAATTTCTATTTATAGTAGAGACGGGGGTCTCGCTCTTGCTCAGGCTGGTTTCGAACTCCTGACCTTGAGCAATTGGCCCACCTCGACCTCCCAGAGTGCTAGGATTACAGGTGTGAGCCACGGTGCCCAGCCAGAGTGACCATTATTCTAAACGGTGTTCTTACCGTTTAGAATTTATATGTATATATATATATGTGTGTATCCTCCAAGTAATGAAGTTTTTTTGTTTTGAATTTTATATAAGTTATATAATACTAGATGTAATACTTTTCATTCAGTATTAATTTTTAGATTGATCCATATTGATGCATGTAACAATAGTTTATTCTTTTTTATTGCTTTATTCCATTCTGTGATTATATCTCTACTTACTGTTCTGTCAGTAGACATTTTGGCTTTTGTTAGTTTTTTGATAATTAATATTCTATTATGAACATTCTGATATATAATTCCCAGTATACATGTATAAGTGTTTTTCTAGAGTAAGCAGTCTACCAAGGAGTAGACTATCTGGGTCATAGGCTTATACATTCAACTTTGCAAAGATAATGCCAAATTTGTTTTCCAAGATAATTGTATTTACACTCCCATTCACAGTGTATGAAAGTTTCCAGTGTTTCATAGCCTCTTTAACATTTACTATTGTCTTATTTTTTATGTTTTCCCAATATGACAGTTGTGAATTGTATCTCACTGTCGTGGTTTTAATTTGTATTTCCCTGATTTGTGATGAGGTAGAAAATCTTTCCACGAGTTTACTAGCCAGTTGTGTTTCCTTTTCTGTGAAATGCATGTTCATGTCTTTTGCCCATTGTTTTTTGTCAGTTTGTAGGCATTCTTTATATGTTCTGGATGTTAACCCATTATTACCTTCTCTTTTTTTTTTTTAAGAGTGCAAGGACTATGCTGAAAGGAATACGAAGGCTTATCTCCAGGGTCCATAAGGTGAGTCCAAACTGACTTTTATACAAACTGCCTTTAGGCGAATTTCTTGTTTTTAGATGGATTTATTGTATCTAGAATTAAATGTGCTCTGGAGAACTTCAGCTGACTAGTGCTTTACTTTACAAGTTTACATTAAAAAGAATAGTCACAATTCCATTTCTCTACCCATATACTTCACTCCCAGCTATCCTAAAAATCTTTATTCTTTTTTTATTTTTTGTGTGGACCAGTCACACAGAACTAAAAATCTTTAACAGGTCTCTGTTGTGCTTAAGAATTTACCATGTGAAAGGAAGATTAACATTTTTCCAAAAAACGTAAGTTTGACTGCAGTTATCTTTATTAACTTTTATTATTTTTCTAGTTGGATTAATGATTATCTTTCCTTAATGAATTATTTAAAAGAAAAATAAGTTGCTAATTTAGAACTTTAGCATCTGATAATAGAATGAAATAATAAAATTGTATATGAAAAAGACCATTCTATTGGTTTACTTCATTTTTTTCTTTTTTCTTTTTTTTCTTGAGACAGAGTCTCACTCTGTTGCCTAGAATAGAGTGCCATGGCATCAGCCTAGCTCACAGCAACCTCAAACTCCTGGGCTCAAGCGATCCTTTTGCCTCAGCCTCCTGAGTAGCTGGGACTACAGGCATGCGCCACCATGCCTGACTAATTTTTTCTATATATTTTTACTTGTCCAACTAATTTCTTTCTATTTTTAGTAGAGACAGGGTCTCGCTCTTGTTGAGGCTGGTCAGGACTCCTGACCTTGAGCAGTCCTCCCGCCTCGGCCTCCCAGAGTGCTAGGATTACATTTTCTTTTTTTGAGACAGTCTGACTCTGTTGCCTGGGCTAGAGTGCCATGGCATCAGCCTAGCTCACAGCAACCTCAAACTCCTGGGCTCAAGCAATCCTTCTCCCTTAGCCTCCCCAGTACCTGGGACTACAGGCATGTGCCACCATGCCCGGCTAATTTTTTCTATATATATTAGTTGGCCAATTAATTTCTTTGTATTTTTAGTAGAGATGGGGGGGGGCCGAGGAAGGGGTCCTCGCTGTTGCTTAGGCTGGTCTTGAACTGCTAACCTTGAGCAATCCTCCCACCTCGGCCCCCCAGAGTGCTAGGATTACAGGTGTGAGACACCGCACCTGGCTTTCTTTTTGTTTTTTTTACCAAATAGATTTTCAGTACCTTCCATATGGTAGATATTCAGAATTCTAAGATGACTCATTTCACTAATCACAGTTATTATTTTTCAGACATTCATTATGTGACAGGTACTGTGCTAAGTGCTTTCTTTTAAAATAATTGTCATGATCAACCCATGAAATAGATAATATCCTTGTTTCACAGATGCAGAAATTTAAGATTAGAATGGCTAGGTAATTTACCTAAGGAAACAGGCTGTGAAATTGCAAAGCCCAGACTAGATGCCAGGTCTATATCACTTCAAATCAAAGCCTGTGGCCTGGCCAGGTGTAGTGGCTCACTTCTATAATCCTAGCACCCTGGGAGGCTGAGGCGGGGAGGATTGCTTGAGGCGAGGAGTTTGAGACCAGCCTGAGCAATAGCGAGACCCCATCTCTACTAAAAAGAAAAATTAGCTGGGTGTGGTGGCATGTGCCTGTAGAAGCATCACTGAACCCAGGGTTTTGAGATTGCTGTAAAGCTTTGATGACGCCACTGCACTCTAACCAGGGAAACAGAGTGAGACTATGTCTCAAAAAAAAGGCTGACCACTGTACTATATTGCATTTTATGGTCCCTGTTCTCCAGAACTTCACAGTCCAGTAGTGGAAATATGAATAAATTACTGTTAAAGTATGGTGCTATTACAGCACCCCAGAGGAGCACCTAACCTGGATTACTTAAGTCCATAGGAAATCTTCCCAAAGCTAAATCCTGAAGGATGAGAACGGAGCCAGAAAGACTTGGTTACTTTCGTTTGATTATTTAATTACTGATTAGATTTCATAGGAAAGGATCACTTTCTCCTGTTTGGTGTCCCCCTCCCCCCAGAGGTTCATGAAAAGCCTATCTACATAAGATAATACATTATTATCATATAAAATGAATAAAACCAAGAATCAAAAAAGGGGGGTGAATTCTGGCCTCAACTGATTATATTACAAAGGTAAAATTTCCTTTTTCTTAATACCAGATGACAAGGACCTGAGGCAAGACTGTAGAAATATGTTGGTGAGAAAAGTTTTGTGGCTTTTTTAGTTTTGTTCAGTTTGACCTTCTAGATTGGCCCATGAATGCTGTTCTTTGAGGAACCCCATGATGTTCTTTCTGAAACTGTGCAGAGGCAATTGTACATATGGTTGTTTTCTCTGGAAATAAGAGACTACCTAGGTGATGCCATATATAACACTCTAAGAAGTAAGGATTCCATTTTGCCAGCTTTTAATTTGCTTCAAAAAATATATAACTGGCTGGTTTGAGTGCAGCGGTGTTTAGAACAAACTGATCACAACCAATTACAGATTCCTTTGTTCCTTCTCCACTCCCACAGCTTCACTTGACTAGCCTAAAAAATAAAAAAAATTTAAAAACATTAAAAACGAGGCCAGGCACAGTAGCTCACACTTACAATCCTAGCACTTTGGGAGGCAGAGGGGGAGGATCACTTCAGCTCAGGAGGTCAAGATCAGCCTGGACAAGAACAAGACCTCATGTCTACTAAAAATAGAAAAAACTTAGCCGAGTATGGTGGTTTGCCCTATAGTCCCAGCTACTCAGGAGGCTAAGCCAGAAGGATCTCTTGAGCCCAGAACTTTGAGGTTGCTGCTGTGACCTAGGCTGGTGCCATGGCACTCTAACCTGGGTGACAGAGCTAGATTCTGTCTCAAAAATTTATTTAATAAAAAATAAAAATAACAAAAACAAAAAAGTATAACTAGCTGGGTGTGTGGTGGTGAAGCCTGTAATCCTAGCACTTTAGAAAGCTGAATACTGTAATCCTAGCACTCTGGGAGGCCGAGGCGGGTGGATTGCTCGAGGTCAAGAGTTCGAAACCAGCCTGAGCAAGAGCAGACACTGTCTCTACTATAAATAGAAAGAAATTAATTGGCCAACTATTATATAGAAAAATTAGCCAGGCATGGGGTGCAATGCCTGTAGTCCCAGCTACTTGGGAGGCTGGAGCAGGATTGCTGAGCCCAGGAGTTGGAGGTGCTGTGAGCTAGGCTGATGCCACAGCACTCACTCTAGCCTTGGCAACAAAGTGAGACTCTGTCTCAATAAAAAAAAAAAAAAAAAAAAAATGAAAGCTGAAGTAGAAGGATCACTTGACTAGGAGTTGAGTCTGGGCAACATAGTGAGACCCTATCTCTACAAAAAATTAAAAAATAGCCATGGGTTTGAGGTTGCAATGAGCTATGATCACATACTGTACTGTAGCAACAGAGCAGGACCCTGTCTGACACACACACACAAAGAGGGGGGCGGCGATAGCTAAATCAGACACAGTTTGTATGCACTTGAATCCAACTACTCAGAGGCTGAGGCAGGAGGTCTCTTGAGACCAGGAGTTTGAGACCAGCCTGGGCAATATAATGAGATCTCATCTCTATAAAAAATTTAAAAATTGGCCAAGTATGGTAGCTCACGCCTATAATCCTAACATCCTAGGAGGCTGAGGTGAGAGGATCACTTGAGGTCAGGAGTTCAAGACCAGCCTGAGCAAGAGCAAGACCCCATCTCTACTAAAATAGAAAAATTAGCTGGGCATGGCAGCACACACCTATAGTTCCAGATACTCAGGAGGTTGACACAGGAGGATTACTTGAGCCCAGGGTTTGAGATTGCGGTGAACTATGATGACGCCACTGCATCCTAGCCAGGGCTAACACAGAGAGACTCTGTCTCTAGATAGATAGATAGATACATACATAATCAAAAAAAATTAGCCAGGCATGATGGTGGCATGTCCTGTAGCCTAGCTACTTGTGAGGCTGAGGTGGAAAGATTGCTTGACCTGGAGAATTTGAGGTTGCAGTGAGCTATGATTGTGCCACTGTACTTCAGCATGAGCAACAGAGCAAGACCTCATCTCTTTAAAAAAACATGTATATTTACATATATAGTGTAAGTAAAAAGTCATCAAATTACTGTAGAAATAGCACCACCTGGTGGTCCTTGAATATTTTGTTATTTTAGTTTCCACTTGACTTTTTTTTTTTTTTGAGACAGAGTCTCTTGCTCTGTTGCCTGAGCTAGAGTGCCTTGGCATCAGCCTAGCTCACAGCAACCTCAAACTCCTGGGCTCAAGTGATCCTCCTGCCTCAGCTTACCAAGGAGCTGGGATTACAGGCATGTACCACCATGCCTGGCTAATTTTTTCTGTATATTTTTAGTTGTCTGACTAATTTCTTTCTATTTTTAGTGGAGATGGGGTCTTGCTCTTACTCAGGCTGGTCTCAAATTCCTGACCTTCAACATCCTCCCACCTCAGCCTCCCAGAGTGCTAGGATTACAGGTGTCAACCATCACGCCCTGCCTCCACTTGACTTTTTAAAGAGACATGGTACTTTCTCCCCATTAGATAAAATTGAGTAGCAATAGTAGTAGTACTAAGGTGCGTTCTTCAGATTGCTATGCTGAGGTAACAACCCCTGAATTCTCAATGGCTTAACACAACAAAGGGTATTGTTTGGGTTGTGTATATATGTTTTGCTTTGTTTTTGCGTTCCAAAAAGGCTTTGCAGGCAAGATTGGGGGCTGGATGCAGAAATAAAGGTTTACCTTCTTGGGATACATCTCAACATGTAACTTTAGGCTTGCCACAGCAAGGGAAGTAAAGAGAGAATTTATACCCACTCTTAACCGGGTGTGACTAGAAATGACACAAATTATTTCCACTCACAGCTCTTTAGCCAGAAGTAATCACATGACTTTCTTTCTGCAAAGGAGACTAAGAAATGTAGAAAAGTATTTGGATATTTGCTGAGATTTTCTGCCTCCCCTATAGAATTAATTTATATCATACAGGTCTCAGCCAAAGCTAGAGCAACTCTATTAATTTATACTGTTACTTTATATTAAAATGTACAAGTAATGGTTCAGAGATTTCTGTGTATAGTTCACTAAGCTGCTTACAGAGCAGTTTACTTTCCTTAGTGGATGCTTTACATACTCCCTAATTACATTCTTTAATGAAAGACTCATTATTCCAGGTACTAAGTATTTGTGGTGTGTTAGGTACTTGAAGATGGAGATAGATACAAAGATCAATAAAATCTGACTCCTTTTGCATCCATTGAAGTATAAAAAATTAAAAAAAGAAAATAATAAAAGTAAATTTTTTTAAATAAACTAAAAAAAAAAAAATCTGACTCCTTTTCTTCCTAGTGTGTGGCCTAGAGTGGGAGACAAACATGTATAACCTAATAGGATATAATCTTAAAAAATACATTTTGGAGTCAGACCAACTTGGATGTGAATTCTGGTTCTATCACCTACCAGTACCATGACCTCAATCAAAATTACTTACTTAACTTCCCTGAACCTTGTTTTCCCCCATCATAAAACAAGGGTGATATTTACCTACCTTCTAGGATTCTAGGCTCAAAAATAGTATATGTTTAAACCGTATTGCTGGCCAGGTGCAGTGGCTCACGCCTATAATCCTACCACTCTGGGAAGCCAAGGCGGGCGGATTGGTTGAGGTCAGGAGTTCGAAACCAGCCTGAGCAAGAGCGAGACCCCATCTCTACCATAAATAGAAAGAATTTAATTGATCAACTAACATATACATAGAAAAAATTAACCAGGCATGGTGGCACATGCCTGTAGTCCCAGCTACTCCGGAGGCTGAGTCAGTAGGATTGCTTGAGCCCAGGAGTTTGAGGTTGGTATGAGCTAGGCTGATGCCACGGCACTCACTCTAGCCGGAGCAACAAAGCAAGACTCTGTCTTGAAACAAAAAACAAAAAACCAAAAAAAACCCGTATTGCCTAAGATCTAATACTCAGTTAACAACAGCCATGGTTACAATTCAAGGCAGAATAAAACTGCTATGCAATACAAAGAATGTGCTATTAACAGAGAAGGAAAGATAATTACTTTTGACTGGAGGTGTCTGGCAAATCTTCACCAAGAATGTGACTTTTGAGATGAGCCTTGATGAGTGGGTAAGATTTAAATAGGGAGAAAGGGAGTTTGAAGTAGAATGAGCAGAAGTACGGAGGCATAAAAGTGAATAACATGTTTTAGCATGGTCATGTGGCTAGAATATAGAGCTTATGAAGAAAAAGCCTACAAAGGTAGGTTGACTTCACAGTGGTCTTGATTGTCAGGCTAAGAAATTTGAGACTTGTTTTGACATTAGTAGGGAACCATCTAAGCTTTTTTTCTTTTCTCGTTTTGTTTTTAAGAGCTAGGGTCTCAGTATATTGCCTAGACTGGCCTCAAACTCCTGAGTTCAAGTGATCTTCCCACCCCTGGAGTAGCTGGGACTACAGGAATGTGCCCTCGTGCCTGGTTCCATCCAAACTTTTTGATTAGGTGAAGGTTGAGCCTGCCATTTGAGAGGATAAAGAACAATGAAAGATGAAGAATCAAAGATTTAGAGATAAATCTTTAGAGAATTGTTATGATAGCCTCTCTCAACCTGTGTAGTAGTAATGGACTGTTGGAGATAGAATTTACATATGGAGTTTAAAGTCTTTTCATAAAATGGGTATAAGTGTTAGAAGGGATGATACAGGCCAGGCTCAGTTGGTTCATGCCTGTAATCTAGCACACTGGGAGGATTGCTTGAGCTTAGCAGTTTGAGGCCAGCCTGAGCAAGAGTAAGACCCTATCTCTACCAGAAATAAAAAAAAAATTAGCCAGGCATGGTGGTCTACACCTATAGTCCCAGTTACTGGGGAGGCTGAGGCAGGAGGATCGCTTGAGCCCAGATGTTTGAGGTTGCTGTGAGCTAGGCTGATGCCACAACACTCTAGCCCAGGCAACAGAGCATGACTATGTCTCAAAAAAAAGACAGAATGGTACAAAAATTATATACATTTTCTGCACTCAAGAAGCTGCTTGGTGAGACTAAATATAAATACAAGTAGCTTTCATATTACCTGTTGATTTATTAAGCAACTCTCTTATTACATCCATTTCTTATATCCCTGTTCCCTTGCTTTTCCTGGCTTCATACCCCAATCTTTTCCTCATAACTGGCATCTTTTCACTTTCTACATAAGGCCTGTTATTCTTAAGCTCAATTTTGAGATTTTCCACTTAACATTTTCTTAGATTTGTCTCCTGAAATCTCATTCTTCCCCTCCCACCTGGTTCAGAGGTTTTGCTAGACAATTCACTGAGTTGCCTATAGAGCAATTTACTTTGACTTAGCTGGATGCTTTACATACTCTCTCATTACATGTCTCTAATGAAAAAATACTTTATTCCAGGGCACAGCTAGCAAGAAAATTGTTACAGGGCATGTAATTATAGCTATCAAATAGTGAGGAACATTGTACTAATCCCCTGATAACTGATGTGACTGACAGCTGAGAAGTACACAATATTGGTAGCCATTCATCACTGTGCAAGTGCATTTAAAGAATTTTCCCACTTCAGATTGTTAATGGCTGTACGATGTATGCTCCTAAACAATCTCTAACAGAATTGTTTGTTTCCATATGGGACAGAGCCCTGATAAGGCAGTACCCAGGCTGGAACAGATAGACAGAATGCATAATGTCATTGGACATAGTGAATTATAAATGATAACAAAGATCCTTCTTACATAGAATTAAAATGTATATTAGTGACATTTTCCCCTGTTGCAAACATGACTCACACATCCTCAGTGTTATAGCAAACATAGAAAGCCTAATAATTCCAAAATACTAAAATGGTTTCTTTTATAGGTGGACCCTGGATGTTTTTTGCATACGGGGACCCAGGCACCCCAAAGCATTGCTGCTCACCTAGATAACCAGGTTCCATTGGAGAGTCACAGAGCTATTTCCCGCACCAATGAGAGTGACCCAGTGAGTGCTAATGTGTATATGGGGTTTCTCGGGGCTTACAATGTGTGTGTTATCCTCATTTTACATATCAGGAAAACTGAAACTTAAAGAAGCTAAGCAGATTTACATATGTATTGTCAGATAGACAATGCACCTGAGATAGCACTCTGGAACCCGGATCTTCCCTGTGTGATGCTGTGGTAACTATAAAGTATTCAGGACAGTCCACATCTGTTCTGATTTAGTCCCTACTAGTGACCTCACCCAGTACCACAGATTTTCCTGAGCATAGAGTAGATATGTTGGGTAGCAAAATTTTCCTTAAAGGACCATGTAGTAAATATTTTAGGCTGATGGGCTGTAATGGCCTCTGTCACAGGTACTCAACTCTGCCATAAATAAATTGGTGTGTGGCTTTGTTCCAGTAAAGCTTTATTTACAAAATAGGTGACCAGCCATACCAACCTCTGGTATGGCAAATTCTAAAGAAATCAAATTACTTGCTCAAGATCACACAGCAGGTCAGGTATGGAATGCAGTTTTTCTAATAAGCAATCTGGTACTGTTTTCTGCCTTTGAAAATGGATTCCTAGTGACTGACAAAGGAAATAACTTGATTTGATATGAGAAAAGCAGCATTTATAGTGAAGTTTGTCCACAGAAACCAAGATTCCAGCAGTATCTTATGTTGCATTTTCTAGTTTAGGTCCCATTAGGCTAGATATTGAATTCTTTTCTCCTTCCCCAGCATTGTTCCTGCTTCTCATAAATGAAATTAGATGTATGGTCTGTGCTTTAATGTGAAGGGAACCAACAGCTTTTTTGTCCCTGCCCCTATCCTCTGAGCCTTCCCATCTTAACACAGACCATGTGGAGGAGAAAAAATAATCTATTACCCAAAACACTATCTCAGCAGGGTGTATTTTAAATATGTCTTTAGCATTTACCTATTTTCACAAGCACAAAATGAAATAGAAGAAATGAATGAAGTCACTGAAGTGTCTTTCAGCTTTCTTTGTAATTGTAGTCCCTTTATCTGCCAATTCCTCTGGGGTTTCTATGGAAACAGCAGCATGCAGATGATCTTGTCACATGACTAGAGCATCTCTATACACAGCACAGAAGAATCCAGATGGCAGAATTGTCTCTGCTCTCGCCATATCTAGGGTTTACTTTACTGAGCAAATTTAGGCCACTACCTCTGTAGACACACTGGATTTGGGAACAGCAGCCAGCTTTTTTGTCTAGATAAAAAATGAAAGATATCTTTTCCAGCTAAGAAATGAGTGTGGTCTAGCGAGCCCTGTTCACTTTTCAAAGTCTTGGTCACTTTGTGTACCTGCTATACCTGTTTGCACTTTTATTTCCTAGGCTAAGCATGGGGAACAGCACGAGGGTCAGCACTACAACATCCCCCTCCAGGATTTGAAGACTGTGTTTCCCAACGGCCTGCCTTCTCGCTTTGTAATGCAGGTGCTTAAAACAGGGAACAGAATTGGGGGAAGCCCAGAATACAAGTTGTAGATAGCAAAGGGGTGGGGTTAGATGAGTGGAAAACTATAAAAGATGAAATTTGAATCTGAAAAACAGAAATTCAGCTGTTTATCTTTTGTGAATAGTACAATTACTATAAGCTAATATTTATCCTTCTGTCAATCATCTTAAATCCTTTATGGAACCAGGTAAATATAAATACACATTGCCAACATTTTTTTCCTTGTGTTATCCAATAAGTTATTAAAAATTTTGGCATGCAAATAATTGGTTAAAATTAATATGTGGGCCGGGCGCGGTGGCTCACGCCTGTAATTCTAGCACTCTGAGAGGCCAAGGTGGACGGATTGCTTGAGGTCAGGAGTTTGAAACCAGCCTGAGCAAGAGTGAGACCCTGTCTCTACTATAAATAGAAAGAAAACTAATTGTCCAACTAATATAAATAGAAAAAATCAGCTGGGCATGGTGGCGCATGCCTGTAGTCCCAGCTATTCGGGAGGCTGAGACAGAAGGATTGCTTGAGCCCAGGAGTTTGAGGTTGCTGTGAGCTAGGCTGATGCCACGGCACTCGCTCTAGCCTGGGCAACAAAGCGAGACTGTCGCAAAAAAATTAATTAATTAATTAATTAATTTAATTTAATTAATATGTGCCTTGGCAAAATGTCATGAAAATAGTTAATATGCTACACAAAAACAAAATCATTGTATGTTCCTGAGATGATTAGAAATGATATTTTGATTAAATGCACCATAGTCCTTCATTCTCCTAGATTTTCAGAAAATGTTCCTTTATGGCCATAATTCCAATCAAAAGAGCGTAATCTTGGATTGTTTTACAAACATTGAAAGAATTCGTGATTAACTGCAAGCATAGTTTATTGGTACAGTTGGCTAGCTTCTGCTAGCTCTTGCTGAATTATTTTCAGCATCAGAAATTATTCCTTCTTAGGCTGGGCACAGTGGCTCACTCCTATAATCCTAGTGCTACGAGAGGCCAAGCCAGGAGGATCAGTTCAGGTCAGGAGTTGAGCAAGACAGCTGAGCAAGAGCAAGACCCTATCTCTACAAAAAATTGAAAAGATTAGCTATACATGGTGGTGCATTCCTTTAGTCCCAGCTGCTGGTGAGGCTGAGGCAGGAGGATCACTTGAGCCTAGGAGTTGAAAGTTACACTGAGCTATGATGATGCCACTGCACTCTAGTTGGGGCAACAGCGTGAGACTATGTCTCAAAAAAGAAAAGAAAAAGAAATTATTCCTTCTTAATTAAATAACAAACTTTCCTATGCAGGTGATTTTTAGCTTAGGAAACAGGATGTCATTTCCTCAATGTGTTTTATTTCAGAAAATTAGATAAATAATAAGGAAGTAACACCAATAAGGGAATTAATTCTAGACCATAGGTAGCCTTACAATCCAAAATTTTGTTAAGATTGAAAATAGGAGAGAACATAGATCACAGATGTTTCTGAGGTTTATGCTTTTCCCAGGAACATGCTCAAACTTTGGTGTAATAAACTTTGATTGATTGAGGGGTAAAAAAAGATTGAAAATAGAACACTTCCAGAAGAAATCATCTGTAATGGCATTTAAACTGTTCCCAGACATTCACCATACATTCTTTAGCTTTAGGGTTGTGAGGTTCTATCTTTAACCATTTCAAGTTGTTTTCATACTGGCTTAACTACCAGTGCTCTGGAAGGATTTATTCATTCTTTTCATAATTTCCATTAACATGAAGGCCAACTCCATTATTATTGTTATGTATTTTAGTACTGTCATATATTGCCTAATATGGCCTTTTTGTTTCAATATCAGTGTCATTTTTTTGAAGATTGCACTTTCCCTTAAGTTTGGACTTAACCTGTTCATTCCTACCTACACCAATCCAATTGTTTTGTTAGGACTTCTTTTGAAAATATCAACACTATTTTACACTTTGTCTGATACACTTACAAATAGTATTTATTAGATATTTATTCTTATCAGTAGATACAATTAAATACTTTATTTATAAATAACTTACACACACATAGCAATGCTTCCTAAATTTTTCCACCAAAGTATACTTGTTGCAAAAGAGGAATGAATACATAAAACTCTGAAATGTCAGTATATGAGTGACATGAGGTATGACCTCATAGTTGTTTGGGGTGGCTGGTCAAACCTGCTCCTGAGCTGCCAGGTATGTAGTTCTACAGAAGTCTAGATGTTATAGTAATAAGAAATAACCAAAAATAAATTTTAAGGCCAGGAACAGTGGCTCATGCCTGTAATCCTAGCATTTTGGGAGGCCCAGGCAGTAGGGTTGCTTGAGACCAAGAGTTCGAGACCAGCTTAACCAAAAGCAAGAGCCTGTCTCTACAAAAAAATTTTAAAAATTAGCTGGGCGTTGTGGCATGCGCCTATAGTCTCAGCTACTCAGGAGGCTACTATAGGAGGATCTCATGAGCTCAGAAGTTTGAGGTTGTTGTGAGCTACGATGATGCCACTACACTGTAGCCTGGGCAACAGAGCACGACTGTGTCTCAAAATAAATAATTAAAAATAAATAAATAAATAATGAATACTTACCATGTATCAGATACTTTATTGAACATCTGACATGCTTTTCAAATTTACATTGACCCTAAGTGGTATTTGTAGTTATGAGATATCTAGATTATTTATAAATTTCAATTAACTGATATAATACCTATACTTCATTAACAGGAGTAATCAAAAGCTAACTATTATGTTACTAGAATAATGCATTTCAGTTTAAAGACACACAACCTATTGCTCTTGGTTGCTGTATTAGGCTCAATGTGTACACCAAAAACTGGTTAGAAGTTCCACACCTCACCCTCTCCTTCCTTTCTTCCCTGTTTTGTCAGGTGAAGACGTTTGGTGAAGCTTGCCTCATGGTAAGGAAACCAGCCCTTGAGCTTCTACATTACCTAAAAAACACCAATTTTGCTTATCCAGCTGTACGATATCTTGTCTGTATCCTTTCCTGCCTGCCTGAGCCCTCTTGAGGCAATGCCTTCTCCTCTGAAATGAGGGAAAAGAAGAAATGCAAGAGTACTTGACAATAAAAGTGTCTCTTTCTGGTGATGTTTTCCTTAACGACAAGTACTTTAGATGGAGAGAAGGGAACAGGAAAAACCCTTAGTCTTTGCCATGTTATTCATTTCTGTGCAAAACAGGACTGGCTGATACTACATATTCCTGATGGTAAGAATTTCCTATCTTTTGTTCTCTGTGTCAGTTTTAGTTACCTTGTTACTGTGGTAGTCCTGTGGCTTTAATTTTCTGACAGGCCTCTGATGGCTAAAGGAAAAGCCTTTGCTCTAGATGCAGAGCAGTCTGAGCTAGTTCTTCATGATTTCTTCATCATATTAGTGCCAACCAGGTTATAAAGTGAAGTAAAGGTGACAAGAGGAAATCTAACTAAAAGCTTCCTGAAGCCTTTGCATACCAAGTAGTCCTTACTTTGATATTCAGTGCCCAAGAGCATAAATTCCTTCGTTAGATGTCACCACAGGGAGTTTTTTTTTTTTTTTTTTTGGCATCAGTTAACAATTTTGAGTACCTATAGAGAATTTTACTACTTATCAACATTTTAGAGCTGTCAGTATAGATCTTAAAAACTTAAACCCTCGGCCGGGCTCGGTGGCTCACGCTTGTAATCCTAGCACTCTGGGAGGCTGAGGCGGGCGGATTGCTCAAGGTCAGAAGTTCAAAACCAGCCTGAGGTGAGGCCCGTCTTCTCTATAAAAAATAGAAGAAATTATTGGCCAACTAATTATATATATGAAAAAATTAGCCGGGCATAGGCTGGCGTTCCTGTAGTCCAGCTACTCGGGAGGCTGAGCAGAGATTGGCTTTAAGCCCAGGAGTTTGAGGTTGCATGTGACTAGCTGACGCGCACGGCATCACTCTATGCCTGGGCAAACAAGTGAGACTCTTCCTCCAAAAAAAAAGAAAAAAACTAAACCTCACACTTGTATATTTCCTTTCTTGTCTAATGTTTATACAGCCGCATTTCTGACCATAGCTTGTACAAAACTGCCGTAAGCTGAAGGATAATTTAAATCCACTGGTATGCCAATTATTGATTCTAATGATAATATTTAGTCTAAGGTAGACCAGACAAAAAAATAAACCCCTGAAGCAAAAAAGCTTTAAGAAATATGTATGGGAAACTAAAGTCATCTCTCATAATTAAAGAGGCATAGAGTTTTCAAGTTGAAAATAGTCAGTCCTGCGGGCCGGTGGCTCACGGCCTGTATACCTAGCTCTCTGGGAGGCGCAAGGCAGGCGTTGCTTAGAGGTCGGGAGTTCGAAACCAGCCTGAGCAAGATGAGACGCCGCGTCTTACTAAAAATAGAAGAATTAATGGCCAACAATTATTATCAGAAAAAATTGCCGGGCATGGGTGGCGGCGTGCCTGTAGTACCACAGCCTACTTTGGGAGGCTGAGCAGGAGGTCACTTGAGGCCGCCAGGAAGTTTGAGGTTGCCCGTAGCTAGGGTGATGCCATGGCACTCCAAATCAAGCCTGCGGCAACAAAGCTGAGACTCTTGTTCCAAAAAAAAAAAAAAAAAGAAAATAGTCAGGTCCTGCTCTAGTTTATTTTCTTGTTCCTTTTTTTTTTTTTGCTCCATCTTTGGGGAAAAATTGTAGGATCTCTAAAGTCGCACCCTACAACAAAGAGCGTTTTGTCAACTATAAGCTTCAGCCGGCTAAAGATTCCAAACTAGCAAAATGAACGCTCGTCCTCAGCCAGGTTAACTAAGGAGCCCCCGGAAGTTTTGATACTGAATTAGTCTTTATGAGTTTCTGTCTTCTTTCGTACTTTGACGTACTGGTAGACTGTGAGAAACTGATATTGTAGTTTGGATAACTATATAATTTTGTATTTTTTCATGTACATGTTTGCTTCAAACAGAAACTGCTCGACTTTGTGCGTCAGCAAAGGAAATCTAGTTGATCATTGACTGTTTCAAGCTACAGCTGCAATATCTCTGTCACAATGCTAGATTTTGTTATTATTTATTTTTGTGATATGTGTGTTTCTTCCATGATGATGATATGTGTTCGTGATCTTTGTGTCTTTTTGGTTACAGTTGAAATGTGATGTTGTGGAAAATTTTGCTTCTTGTTATTCATTGATTGGTCGTTGAGTATTTTCGCTGAGACAGGGTTTTTTATGTCTGTTGTATATCATTATTATGTGGTAGTATTCTGTCTAGCGTTTTTTGTTTATGGGGTTCATATTTACTGTATTGCTTATTTGCATTTTCTGTTTTTTTTTTGATGTCTCTGATGGCGGTTTATGGTATGTCTAGGGATGGTATGTTTGCTGATAGGTAATGATTCATATGATACTATTATATCTCCTCATAGCGCGATTTCTATTTGTGATAGTGTTTGTATATTTGTGCTATAATATATTTAGTTGTTTTTATTATATGTAATATTTTTATTTTATTTTGTCTTATGTCATTGTCGTTCTCATTTGCCTTGTTTTATTCTAGTTTATCTTGTTTGGATGATGTGTCTGATGCAGGAGGGTTTATCTGTGTCCCAGGTTGTTGATGGTTTGGTTATGAGTAGTTGTTTTTATCTCTGCTTATTTTAGCTCTTTGCTCATGCTATAGTATTCTTCAGAATAAATTATATATTGTTGAGTCACTCTGTATAAATAATTACTATGATGGCCATAGTTGTCTTTGTTTGTTATGGTAGTCATCATCTGTGATGCCTCATTTGCTTTTTGGATTTTTTGTGGTCGTAGTATCTTGCCTTTTTTTTGTATGGTCTCTTCTGATCCATTCTCTGCTATATCTTATTCATATCTTTGTTTATTGTTCTTTTTATTATCTATATAATTTTTTTTTTAATTATCTTGTTTGCTTTTTTTGCCCTATTGCTTAGTGTAATTTGTTTGGCTTCAGCTCTTTGTTCTCATCTTCATATCCCAATATTTCCTTTTTTGGCTCAAGCAATCCTACTGCCTCAGCCTCCGCAGGTAGCTGGGACTATAGGCATGCGCCACCATGCCTGGCTAATTTCTTTTACTATATTAGCCTGCGCCAATTATTTCTTCTAGTTATAGTAGAGATCAGGGTCTTCTGCTCTTGCGTCATGCTGTTTTTGAACTCCTGACCTTGAGCAATCCGCCCGCCTTGGCCTCCCAGAGTGCTAGGATTATAGGCATGAGCCACCATGACTGGCCTAAAAAATTTTTTTCTTAATTAGCCAGGCACAGTGGTACATGCCTATGGTTCCAGCTACTCCGGAGCCTGAGGCTAGAGAATCATTTGAACCCAGGAATTTGAGGCTGCAGTGAGCTATAGGTACCACTGTACTCTTATCTAGCCTGCATGACAGGGCAAGACCCTGTCTCTTTAAAAAAAAAAAAAAGAGAGAGAAGAGAAAAAGCAGGTGCCAAAGCTTCATTGTGGACCTTTTTAGTCATAATCCCTTATGTATTTTTTTTTTTCAAAGCTCCAGACAGAAATGGATTAGAAAGCATTCACTTCCATACTGAGGTCTCTTATAGGACCTGAAAATAGATTAAAACTGACTTCTATTAACCTTACCCTCCAACCTTCTCAAGGGATGGGTTTACCCTTAGGCAAAGTAACCCTTTTTTGGTTTTTATTTTGCTTGTTTTTAGATAAAAGTTCAAGAGAAGTATGTATGGAATAAGAGAGAAAGCACTGAGAAAGGCAGTCCTCTGGGAGAAGTAGTTGAGCAGGTAAAAGAAAAGAATGTATACTATGTCATAATCTGAGAAGACCTCCTACAACACTGTAAACCACTCTCTCTCCCAACAGGGTATAACACGGGTGAAAAATGCCACAGATGCAGTTGGGATTGTGCTGAAAGAGCTAAAGAGACAAAGTTCTTTGGGAATTTTTCGTCTGCTGGTAGCTGTGGATGGAGTCAATGCTCTGTGGGGAAGGACGACTCTGAAAAGAGAAGATAAAAGCCTGGTAGGAAAACTGGGTTTCTCTATTACTAATTTCCCTAATTTCTGCTTCTATCGTGTACAGAGGCTGGGTCTTAGCCTTGTAGCCCAATATATTATCTTGTCCTAGAAGTATTTGAATTAAGATATACAGTGAAAATAGAGGGTGGGTACACTGGCTCACACCTATAATCTTAGCACTTTAGGAGGCCAAGGCGGGAGGATTGCTTGAGCCCAAGAGTTCAAGACCAGCCTGGGCAACACAGCATGACTTCATCTCTACAAACAATTTTTTAAAAATTAGCCAGGCATGATGGTGTGTACCTGTAGTCCTAACTACTTGGAAGGCTGAACCAGGAGGATAACTTGAGCCTGGGAGTTTGAGGTTGCAGTGAGCTATGATCATGCCACTGCACTCTAGCCCAGGCAACAGAGTTTGACCCTGTCTCAAAATATATATATATAGTCTGGACGTGGTGGCTGACACCTATAATCCTAGCACTCTGGGAGGCCAAGGCAACAGGATCCCTTGAGGTCAGGAGTTCGAGACCAGCCTTAGGAAGAGCAAGACTCCGTCTCTACTATAAATAGAAATTAGCTGGCCAACTTAAAATATATAGAAAAAATTAGCCGGGCATGGTGGCACATGCCTGTAGTCCCAGCTAAAGATAGACTGTGAAATGGAATCAGAAGAAGAAAGCAATGCTTTCATGCCAAGAAATTCATTGAAAACCATTCATTGAAAACTAAGCGAGAGTGTTGTGGAAAGAGCCTAACAGCAGAAGCTATGTTTTCTTTCTTTCTTAGTGTGTTCTTTCTATTCTCATTTCAAAATGAGGCTGTTTGGTCTCAGCAGAAAAGATAAGAAGCACCAAGGAAGGGGGATTGTTTAGGGAAGTGGGTGTTTTCTCTCTTGGTGACTGTTGTTAATCTCCAGAAGCATGGAAGTTCTAGAGCCAACAACTATGTGGCTTATCCAGTATACCTTCAGGTACCATCATTATGTAATAGTTGAGGATTTTTGTTGTTGTTGTCAATTAGTTGTCTCAGGAGAGCATCCAGGAAGAGCAAGTAATGATCTCTTCTCTTTCATTGACCAATGTGCAGATTGCCCCAGAGGAATTAGCACTTATTCATAACCTGAGGAAAATGGTGAAAAATGACTGGGTAAGTGCACATGGTGCCTAACGCACTTCAGAAAGAAATGTGTTTATGTTTAAAACATATTCTAGGCCGGGCGCGGTGGCTCATGCCTGTAATCCTAGCACTCTGGGAGGCCGAGATGGGCAGATTGTTGGAGCTCAAGAGTTCGAGACCAGCCTGAGCAAGAGCGAGACCCCATCTCTACTTAAAAATAGAAAGAAATTAATTGGCCAAATGAAATATATATATATATAAAATTAATTGGGCATGGTGGCACATGCCTGTAGTCCCAGCTACTCGGGAGGCTGAGGCAGGAGGATTGCTTGAGCCCAGGAGTTGCTGTGAGCTAGGCTGACGCCATGGCACTCTAGCCTGGACAATAGAGTGACACTCTGTCTCAAAAAAAATAAAATAAAATATGACATATTCTACTACTTCACTGCTAATACTTTCCATTCTCTAATTTTATGGACAGAAAGTTCTTTTATTTAATTCCATAACTGTACCACGTTAGGAATAAGGTCTGGATTAGCACATTGACTGCCACACTAGAAAAATAATTTTTTCCTTTGGGCCACGATGTTTTATTACAAAAATAGAATAAAAACTTCAAAAACAAAACAATCTTTTCTAATCTAATGAAAATCTTATTTTTTATTATTTTCTATGCGTGAGTTATATGCAACTTGAAAAATGGTTCTGGCGGTTCCCAAGGTGAAGAGAGGTGTGAGTTACATATGCTTCATGAGGCCTCAGGCTCAAAACTATCGTGAGTTAAATACAACTCACTTGGCAGTTAATGTGTTAAAATCTATGTATTTTGTTTCTAATCTTTCCACTTGACTAGAGTAACCTTATTCAAAACCATTTTATTTAAATATTAGCCTAATTTTCTTTTGTTTGCAATTATTTATTTAAAGTGTTTTTGTATTTTCTTTACCATCTGTGGAAAAGAGTTTAAGACCCAAAAATATGTTGATAAACCTAAGATCATGCAGCAGTTTATTGTCAGAGCCAAATCTAGAACTAATAACCAATTTAGTTGACATTTATCTGTGTCAGACCATACTGCCACTATATTATATGGAAAAAAAATCTGTAGATGATTACATTGCATTTTTCTCTTTTTTAACTTTTTCTTATTCAGCATTTTCTCTTTTCTTTCAGCATGGAGGTGCCATTGTGTTGACTTTGAGCCAGACTGGGTCTGTCTTTAAGCCCCGGAGAGCCTATCTGCCCCAGGAGTTGCTGGGAAAGGTCAAGTTATAGGAAAATTTATTTCCACTTAGTTATTCTAAAGATAAATCTTTTTATTGATTTATTTATTTTTACATGATTTCAGACTGAGAGAAAACTCATATTCTTCTATGCCCTTCATCCAGATTTCTAAAATGTAAACTTGGAATGGGTGCAATGGCTCACACCTGTAATCCTAGCACTCTGGGAGGCTGAGGCAGGCTCAAGGTCAGGAGTTCAAAACCAGCCTGAGCAAGACCCCGTCTCTACTAAAAATAGAAAGAAATTAATTGGCCAACTAAAAATATATAGAAAAAAAGGCTTGAGCCCAGGAGTTTGAGGATGCTATGAGCTAGGCTGATGCCATGGTACTCCAACCCAGGTAACAGAGTGAGACTCTGTCTCAAAAAAGAAAAATAAATAAATAAATAAAATAAAATGTAAACTTTATCATGTTTGCTGTATCATTCCCCTCTCTTTCCACATTTTTTCCCAAAATTATATAACCATAGCACAATTATCAAAATCAGAAAATTGACATTGATATAATACTTTTACCTAATCTGTGGAGCTTACTCTTATTTAGCCAGTTTTCCCAATATCCTTCATAGAAAAAGAAAGTTCTGGATAATGTGTTAAATTAAGTTGTAATATCTATTTGGTTTCCTTTAATCTGAGATAGTTCCTCAGTCTTTGTCTTTAATGACCTTAATATTTATATTTTTTAAAAAGTATCTGTCAGTTATTTTGTAGGTCATTCATTTTATGAGATCTGATGTTTCCTCCTGAGTAGAAGTGATATTAGAAGTGATGGTGTATCTTAGTGAATGTATCATATCCAAAGGCACTTGAAATCTATTTCTCCCATTACTGGTGATGTTAATTCTAACAGTTGAGATGGTATCCATCTGGTTTCTCCTAAGTAATGTTACTATTTTCCCTTTGTAATTAATAAGTATCTTGTTGATATATACTGTGAGACTACGTAATGATCTTGTTACTTCTCAAACTTCCACCTACTAATTTTAGTATCTGTTATATTATTTGTTTCTTTCAGTGTGGACTTGTGGATTCTTATATAATGGGTTCTAAACTTCTATCTTTTTGTTGTTGTTGAGACAGGATCTCACTCTGTTACCCAGGCTGGAATGCAGTGGCAAGATCATAGCTCCCTGTAGTCTCCAATTCCTGGGTTCAAGCAATCCTCCTGCCTGAGACTCCTGAATAGCTAGGACTACAGGTGCACACCACTATGCCTAGCAAATTATTTTTTTAGAGATAAGGTCTCACTATGTTGCTCAGGCTGGTCTTGAACTCCTGGCCTCAAATAATCCTCCCACCGTGGCCTCCGAAAGTGCCGGGATTACAGATGTGAACCACCACCAAGCCTACTGTCATTTTTTATTTTGATGTTCAAATTATCCCAGATTTGGCCATTGGAAGCTCCTTCAAGCTGGCTTCTATATCCTTTTGACATGTCCCCATCATTCTTTTAGCACTTCTTTACTTTCTGACATAATATTTTCTAAACTCATTTTGTACTTTCCATACCCCAACCTTGGGGTCAGCCATTTCTCCAAAGATCCTTAGTTTGTTTTAGAGGAGAATGGTAGTTAGAAACCAAGACCTGGCTGGGCATGTTGGCTCACACCTATATATAATAATATATATATATATGCCGAAGCGGAAGAATTGCTTGATCTCAGGAGTTCGAGACCAGCCTGAGCAAGGGCAAGATCCCGCCTCTACTATAAATAAAAAGAAATTAGCCAAACAACTAAAAACAGAAAAAAAATTAGCCAGGCATGGTGGCGCGTGCCTGTAGTCCCAGCTACTCGGGCGGCTGAGGCTTCAAGACGCGCCTGGAACCATACCCGAGCTGTTATGGTCCTATAGTTAAAGCATAAATTTTTTTTTTCTTTTTTTTATTTGAAGCGACGTCTTGTTGTTGCCCACGGCTAGAGCTAAGTGCTGTGGCGTCACGCCTAGCTGCACACCCAACCTCAACTCCTGGCTAAGAACCGTCCTACTGCTGCAGCCTCCCAGGGTAGCCTGGGGTTACATAGCATGCGCCCCATGCATGGGCTAATTTCTACATATATTAGGCTGGCAACTTATAATTTTCTCTATTATAGTCGAGACAGGGCTTGCTCTTCGCCGCTCGCGCTCTCGCTCGCTCTGAGCCACTCGCGCGCTCTCGCTCCAGCGCTCGCTCGGCTCTCCTCCCGGCACTGACGCCCAAACACCATGACTGCGCTACCAACACCCACATGTCTCTTTCTGTAATTAGCAGGCCACAGCTGGTCATGCTATGGTTGCCAGTACGAAGCGGAGCCGTGAGGCTAGAGAATCCCATTTGAAACGCAGGAATTTGAGCTGCAGTGAGCTATAGGTACCACTGTCTCTTATCTAGCCTGCATGACAGGCAAGACTGTCTCTTTAAAAAAAAAGAGAGGAGAAGAGAAAAAGCAGGTGTAAAGCTTCATTCTGGACTTTTTTAGTCATAATCCCTTATGTATTTTTTTTTCAAAGCTCCAGACAGATGGATTAGAACATTCACTTCCATCACTGAGGTCTCTTATAGGACGATTGAAAATAGATTAAAATGACTTCTATTAACGCTTACCCTGCCAACTTCTCAAGGATGGGTACCTTAGGCAAATTAACCTTTTTTGGTTTTTATTTTGCGTTGTTTTTAGATAAAGTTCAGAGAAGTTGTTGGAATAAGAGAGAAGCTGAGAAGCAGTCCTCTGGGAGAAGTCAGTTGCAGGTAAAAAAGAATGTATACTATGTCCATAATCTGAGAAGACCTCCTAACACTGTAAAACCACTCCTCTCCAACTAGGTATGAACACGGGTGAAAAACCCACAATGCAGTTGGGATTGTGCTGAAAGACTAGAGACAAAGTTCTTTGGGAATTTTCGTTCTGCTGTAGCTGCTGGATGAGTCAATGCTGCTGTGGGAAGGACGACTCTGAAAAGAGAAGATAAAAGCCTGGTAGGAAACTGGGTTTTCTATGTACAATTTCCCTAATTTGTCGCTTGTATGCGTGTACAGAGCTTGGGTCTAGGCCTTGTAGCCAATAATATATCTTGTCTAGAAGTATTTGATTAAGAATACATGGTAAAATAGAGGGTGGGTACACTGGCTTCACACCTATAATTTAGCCTTTAGGAGGCAAGGCGGGAGGATTTGCTTGAGCCCCAAAGAGTTCAAGACAGCCCTGGGCAACACGCATGATTCAGGTCTACAAACAATTTTTTAAAAATTAGCCAGACATGATGGTGTGTACCTGTAGTCTAACTACTTGGAAGGCTGAGACAGGAGGAACTTGAGGCCTGGGAGTTTGAAAGGTTGGCAGTGAGCTATGAATCATGCACTGCACCTCCTAGACCCAGGCAAACAGAGTTTGACCTGTCTCAAAATATATATATATATAACTAAGTCGGTACGTGGTGGCTCACGACTATACATCCTAGCACTCTGGGAGCCAAGGCAACAGGATCCTTGAAGTCAGGAGTTCGAAGACAGCTTAGGAGAGAAGACCTCATCTCTACTATAAATAGAAATTAGCTGGCCAACTTAAATATATAGAAAAATTAGCGGCATGTCGGCACATGCCTGTAGTCCCAGCTTGAAAGAATAGACTGTGAAATGGAATCAGAAGAAAAAGCAAAATGCTGTTCATGCCAAAGAATTCCCAATAATGAAACAACCTTCATTGGAAAACAGCGAGTGTAGTTGGAAAGAGCTAACAGCAGAAGATATGTTTTTCTTTTCTTTTGTGTTTCTTTCTATTCTCATTTCAAATGAGCTGGTTTGGTCTCACAAGAAAGATAAGAAACATCAGGAAGGGGTGTTGTTAGGGAAGTGGGTGTTTTCTCTTGGTGACTGTTGTGTAATTTACCCAGAAGCATGGGAAAGTTCTAGAGCACACTATGTGCTTATCCAGTGTATACACATCAGGTACCTCATTAGTAATATATGAAGGATTTTTGTTGTGTGTTGTCATGTTGTTCAGAGAGCATCAGAAGAAACAATTAAGATTCTTCTCTTCTCATTGACAATGTAGCAAGAAAATTGCCCCAGAGGATTTAGCAAATTATTCATAACGTGAGGAAAATGGTGGAAAATGATGGTAGCAATGGGCCCTAATGCACTCAGGAAAGAAAATGTTGTTACAGTAAAACATATTTCTAGGCCGGCGCAGGTGGCTGCCTGTTAATCTAGCACCTTCGGGAGCGACGAGATGGGCAAGATGCTTGGAGCTCAAAGTTTTGAACAGCCTGAAAAAAGCAAGAGCGAGAACACCATTCGTACTCTATAAATAAAAGAAATAATTGGCCCAATGAAATATATATATATAAAATTTAATGGCAATGGTTGGGCACTGCCTGTTAATCCCCGCTCCCCCGGCTCACCCCACGCCGTTCCTCCCTATCTGAGCCCGCGCTCTAGCCAGCCCTGCTTTGTGCAGGCTCCGGCTCGCGTCCTTTCCTCCGCGCCACACCACCATAAGAGTTGGGGAACACTCCTGTCTTCTCAACAAACTCAACTCACCCTCCTCCATGCCTCCACCTTTCCTTCCACTATCCTCAACCTTCGCTATATTTTCCATTTTTCTAATTTTATGAAAAGAAAGTTCTTTTTTAATTCATCACTTGTTAACCACGTAAATTAAAGGTCGGTTTAAAGCACATGCTTCCAGCTAGAAAAAATTTTTTTCTTTTGGCCCCGTGTTTTTATATTAAAAATAAATTAAAATTCCCGGAAGTTTGATACTGAATAGTCTTTATATGAGTTTTGTCTTCTTTGTACTTTGCGTACTGGTAGACTGTGGAGAACTGATATTGTAGTTTGGAGTAACTATATAATTTTGTATTTTTTCATACATGTTGCTCAAACAGAAAACTGCTCATTTTGTTGGTAGCAAAGTGAAATCCAGATTGATTCATTGACTTTTCAAGCTACAGCTGCAAATCCTTCACAAGCAGATTTCAAACTACATGGTTTTCTCCAG